TAATAATCTACTTCGTTGTACGAGCAAATTTCAAAATTTTGTGAGGAACTCATAATAAAGTCGAGCTTATAATAAATTGGTACTATAAGTGGTATTTATACATACTAATCCATCTGCAAATCATAGTCCAAATAAGTTTTTGAAGTAGTTATATTTAATTTTAATAAATATTAGTTTAAAAAAATATTAAACATAATATGAACCAAAATGCAATGATTCAAAATATTTATGATTAAAAAAACTTTTGATTCAACTTGTTTATGATCATTAATTTGTTATGATCTAAAAATATTTAGATTCAAATATGTTATAACTCTTAATTATATATTTTATGATTCAAAATATATAATAATATTTAATTATTTTGAACGAAAGCCTTATTTAATTGAATATATTATTGATCCAAAATAATATGATTCAAAATAAATTAATTTAAAATTTTATTACTCAAAAATAATATGATTAAAAAAAAACGGAAAATATTATGATCCTGAATAATCTTTTTATTTAAAATTTTATAATTGTTAAACACTAAAATCTTAAACCGATATTTAGTTTATAAATAAATAAATAAATAAATAAAACACTAGTATATTCAATATAGTAAACATATTATAAAAATGAAAAAACTGAAAAAAAAAAAAAAAGAGAAAAAAAATAATTTAAAAAAAACGTTAAAACCGAGCATATAAATCTGTTTATTTTTTTTAAATAAAAATAAACAATATTAAAAAAACCCAATTAAATGACACGTGATTAAATCCTCAAGTCCATATTAGTTATCATGGACGTTGATCGTATGCGAACGCACCACAACCAAGTATTGAATTTGATGTTTGCGCCGTTGACAAAATGGGTAGTGAAGAATTGTCCTCGTAGTCGTCACCATTTTTTTGAGTCTTCACTAGAATCGGACCATATATATATATATATATATATATATATATATATATATATATATTATATATATATATATATATATATATATATATATATATATATATATATATATATAATAGTTGTAAACCCGCGCAAAGCGGCGTCGACAAATAATTTCTTTCGGTGATTAGTTTTCTTTCGAAAACATATTATGTTCCAAGTAATACACATTATATTAGAAAATATCATTTACCATCGTTTTGTTACCTCTCTCTTAAAATTGATCATCCAAAAGTGTCTAAGCATATAGGTAACATCTATCGAATCTCCAAATTACCGACTTCAAATAATATTCTTTAGATGAATGTTTTCTTCTTGAATGATTAGTTATTTAGATCTGAACGGTAAATCTACCTATGGCAAATAAATAAATATCAATAAATAATTTCATTTTGGTTATGTTGATTTTGTTTTCATTTTGGTTAACTGAAAATGAAAAATGTTGGGTTAATCGATATATATATATATATATATATATATATATATATATATATATATATATATATATATATATATATATATATATATATATATATATATATATATATGTTTACTACTTATAAAAAAAATCTAACTATTTCTATAAATAGATTAAATATAATAATATTATTTTTTTAAAAATCCAAACTATTAAGCTTGAAGTACAACCTATTTATAATATAATAATATTAAAACTTTAACCCTATCCTTTATCCCCTAAAAATCTCGTATCAAATTAATAGAAGAATTCATTTGCAAATTGAACCCGTTAATCTCAACACTTCAGCCATTTAAAGCGGTCAATGTCAACAATTTATAAATGATCTCTTCTCTCACATTGGTAATAAGCCATCTCATAATATCTATCTTCGTAATCCTTTCAAAGTAAGAAATATACGCGCACTCTCTCGAAGAACCTAACCAGTAACCAAGATAGTATCACCACCACCACCACAGCCACTTTGCCTCCTTTCGCTTTCAACTAACCACTATCACGACTACCGTCCTTCCTCTCACCCACGACATGAACTTTCTTTTGGAACATAACATTTTTCTTAAAAAAATATCGTTGAAAGAAGCTATTTATCCCCGCCGCTGTGCGCGGGTAACGGCTAGTATATATATATATATATATATATATATATATATATATATATATATATATATATATATATATATATATATATATATATATATATATATATATATATATATATATATATATATATATATATATATATATATATATGATTTGTGTAAATTTTTAGTTTAAGTATCTAATGAATTGACAAAACTTAAATATTTCAATTTTTCGATAAAGTATCTATTGTCAAAAGCTATTTCATTTATCTATCAAACCATCACCAAACATAAAATATATCATTAGTCGAAACTTTATATATTTGATTAATTACTCTTTGTTAACATTTTCGCTTTTGGTTAGACATGATGTGAAGTATGTTATTAATGTGATTATTTGTTAATAATTTAAAATTATCTATTTGGTTTTTGAAACTCTTTACGTCTAATCTATAAGCCTTTTGGTGTAACATATCTTATTAATGTGATTTGTGTATATTGGTTTTTTTCACACTTTTGGAGTAAAAAAATTGTGTAATTCAAATAAAGTCATAAATATGTATAAATCAAATAGCATTATGATCCTCACAAACTACCTATATTTTAGGTTTTGAAAAATGGCAAGTTTGAAAATCAAAGAAAAAAAATACTTTTGATAAAATTACTTTACAAACTTTTCGTTATAATACACTATCGATCGGATCAACAATATAAATTAGATCCCTTACTAAAATTATTGACCATTTTGGTCCCTAAAACATTTTTAGAACCTTCTCCGTTAAGTATTTCAATTGAGACTTCCTAATCTCCAACACATGCTCATTTTGATTCATTCAAAATATGTCTATAAAAGCTGTCTTGAAGGTGTAATCATTTGGATCAAAGGTTTCATGTATGTCGACACCTAGGTATAAATTTCAATGTTATAAAGGCAAAATGGTTAGATTTTTCCAAATTCCAAAAAGATGAAAAAATCACAAGAAGATACCCCTTGGCATTTGGAAAATATTTTGATAGTATGTTGTCACCATTGCCTCTCTAAAAATTACTTCAGTCAGATCTTATAACCAATCAATTAAAATGGAAGGTTTCCCCCTTGTTTAAGAGTAACAAAATGTCCTTATAATCCATCAGTTGAAATGAATATTTCCCTATCACACTTGACCTTTGAAAACCTGTGGCATTTGACTTTTCAACACGTATACAAATCACCTTAAGCACCATCCATATTTGTCTTGATTTTCGTTAGTTATAATATCTGCATGTCAAAAAAATATAAGGGTAAAAATAAGGAGATTATTAAACAAAAAATGATAAAGGTTTGGAGTGCACAAACTGATTAAATATATATATATATATATATATATATATATATATATATATATATATATATATATATATATATATATATATATATATATATATATATATATATATATATATGGGTAAAATGAATATACCTAACAACCTTATATAAGTTTAGGTACCTAACCTCTTCAAACTACGTTATTTTGCATTAAAATTTCATTGTAATCATCTAAGATTCTTAAAATTCATCCCTAAACTTGATTTACATCAAAAAAATTTGGAAATTCATCATTATATTTCTCCTACATCCTTTCATTTGTAGCGGTAGGATATAAAGCCCATCAGGTGGTATTCGATAGAAAGACGTGTTGTAAAAGAAAGATATTGTTGAAAGTCCAATGATTTTGGAAGTAATCAAGTTATGTGGTTGAAGTTTAAGAACCTTAGGTAATTACAATGTAAATATGATACAAACGGATGTAGTATTATGGAGTTAGGTACTTAAGCTTATATAAGGTTGTTAGGTATATTCACTTTACCCTATATATATATATATATATATATATATATATATATATATATATATAGAGAGAGAGAGAGAGAGAGAGAGAGAGAGAGAGAGAGTTAGGTTCAAATGTTTCTAACAACTATTGTGTGCATGTATGCACCAATGAGAATTGAAGAAATAATAAATCATTTAAGGGTATTATGATAATCCTTACATATTATCAAGAATAACATTTTCTAAAGGATACAAATTTTATTATTTAAGAATCATTATTTATATTCATCCGTAAAGAAAAAGACTATAAACAATTATTACAATAATTCTAAAAAAATTATAACTAATAATTGTTTAAAAAAAAACATCAAAATCTAACAAAAACACTACTCTATTCCAAAAGAATATTATTCCGAAAGAATATTATCGTTCTCCATGTTTTCCTCATTTTCCACATTAATGGCAACCTCTTCAAAACCTAAATTCACAAGGAAAGCATAATCAACTTTCAAATATTAAAATTTTTAATGCATTAAATATAATAAAACAATAAGTTCTAATAGAATGTGATATACATTCAAATAGAATATAACTATAATTTCTACAAACCAGCATTAACAATCATCCCTAAACTTGCAATGTATATTATTTTGAAAGAATGTAATGTTTCATTATTTAGGATGTTATTCCATAAGAATTGAGACCAATAACAAGAATATAAACCAATTTTATTATGACAGAATTGGTTACGATAATTCACTGCTTAAGTTGACAAAGAACTCAAGATTCTATTCTGACAAAATTAGAATTCAATATTCCATTCTAGCAGAATGATCGACATCAAGATGCATTAAAAAAACCTAGATTTCAACTACGCATTTACTGAACACGTGGTGTGCTTCTTCAGTTTCTTCAAAAAAAAAAAATTAGTGATAGTCTTATCAATTTAGTTTCTTGGTGGTCAGGAACTGGAGATACAACTAAAAAACATGTTATGATTAGTACAAGAGCATAACAATATTCAAATATTCATATTCGAAGAGGGAAAGTATTAAATACCTGGTAGATTGGGGTGCACAATCGAGCAACTGCATTAGGGCCACGATAGTACTTTTTCAAGATGACTGGCCACTCAACGTAGTCAAACATGAGATCAAAATCCGGGACCTTTCTGTTAACGTCTAGCAAGCGTATGGAAAGCAAGAGGCCGACGAACATGAAGATGAGGAAGAAGAGTAGTCGAATAGAGGATCTAGAAGTTTCTGTCATGATGGCGGATAATAGGCTGACGGTGGTGCTCGGATGTAAGGATCGATTTCTGGTGGAAAGGAGGAACAAAGGTATCAATGATTTGAGGAAGTCATCGTACTCTTTAAGGTTAGGGATGTTGGCTTTGTAGGGTTAAACTAATTAAGGAGATATTAATTGAATTATTTTTTACCATAATTAGACATAGTAAGTTTACCATTATACAATTTTTTAATTTATTTAATGATTTTATTATTCATGAATTGTCATTGGTACATTTTAGCACACACTATTTGCTAGAACATTTGAACCTATATATATATATATATATATATATATATATATGTTCAAATGAGAACCAAAAAAGGTTAAGACCCGTAAGAACCTCTAATTTTAGATGTTTATAAAGGGTTTAGGGTTTAGGGTGTTTATAAAGGGTTTAAAGTTTAGGGTTTAGGGTTTAAGGTTTAGGGTTTAGGGTTTATGGTGTTTATAAAGGGTTTAGGGTGTTTATAAAGGGTTTAGTGTTTAGGATTTAGGGGTTAGGGGTTAGGGTTTAGAGTTTAAAGTTTAGGGTTACCCTAAACCCTTTACAAACATCTAAAGTTAGAGGTTCTTATGGTTCTTAACATTTTTTAGTTCTTATTTGAACCACTCCCTATATATATATATATATATATATATATATATATATATATATATATATATATATATATATATATATTCATAAACAAACATTGACAGGGGTAAAAAGCCTAATATCAAGGATCAAATTTGGAAGTATGAGTTTAGTTGAGGGACTAAAAATGACAGTTCTATAAACACGAATATAAAGCGTTCTGGGCTTCCGTACCATCGAGTGAATCGGTTTCCCGGTTGGCTTTGCGACATTCTCCGATTCAGTGGACCTTCATCATACTGCCGAAAGCCCCTCCACAAAATGAGGTAAATTGTTTGATGAGTTTTATTTCCTTCAAATTTTAGTACAAAAACAGATTAGTTTTAGCCGATTGACATCCCTATTCAAGTTTCCACTCCGTTGGAGTCAAAATTGTTGATAAAACCCTTTTACATGATTTCAAATTGGTGCCATATTTCCTCGAAATTATCGCAATGATGCAACACCAGTACATCGATCATTGCTTTTTACGACTCATTCATTGGAATAAACAGGAGATTAGGTTATGAATTTGTCGAGTTCGAAGCTGACATGAACTTTATGACAATTTAGAGGAAGCATCATTGATCTATTGAGTCTGTATGTAGTTACAGATCTTAAAGCTTAGGGACTTGACTATGTCGCTAATCCATTTTATCGAGGCACGGAAATGGCATGAACTTGAATGCGACTATAGCCTAGTTCTTTTTGCTTTATATCTTCACAAGTCCTCCATTGAGAAACTTAATATCAAATTGTTCTAACTACTTGACTTTTGTTGATTGCTTATAACTTATGCAACTGCGTAGAAGCCATCCGGAGGTTCTTTGGGCTCAGAGGGCAGACAAAGTTTACCTGACCATAGCCCTAACCAATGCAAAAGACATTGCAGTTAAATGTGAGCCCCATGGATTATTCAACTTCTCTGCCATTGGAGCAAATGATGAAAACTCTGAAGTCAGTTTGGAACTTTATGGAAACATCCTACCTGAGGTGATCACCAACCTTTTGTTTCATTTCTTAGAAGTTACTCCCTCTCCCTTAGCCCCATTTCTATATATATGCATACATATTAAATTTTTTTCTAAAATTGTTCAACAGGGCTGCAAAACCCAAATGGGGTTGAGGAATATACTGTGCACTGTTCAGAAAGAGGAGAAAGGTTGGTGGAAACGTCTCTTGAAATCTGATCAAAAACCTGCTCCGTATATAAAGGTTGATTGGAATAGATGGTGTGATGAGGATGAAGAATCAGTTAATGGTAAGTTCATATATATTGTCGTGCTTTTCGATCTTTATTCATTGTTTAAAATAAACTTTTTTGTTTTAATAAACGTTAAAATACAAATGTTTTTTCACTTTGCAGGTAGTGATGATGATGACTTGAAGGTATGACCAGCTATCTCCTAGCTAGTGATTAATATCACAAGAAAAGTGATTTTGATTTATATTTTTAAAGCAACTCATTAGATTTGGGACCCATTAAACCGGACTCGAGCATCTAATAGTTCTGTTTCTTTTCCACTGTAGTACGCGAGTGATGATGATGGAAGCAGTGGTGATGACGGAATGCTATGTGAGTTCAGATATTTTGTGGGTTAATTTCAAAAATTTTGAGATGTTAAAATTTAAAAAACATCGTTGTATCAAATATATACTATCAGAAAGTAAGTTGAGGTACAATATATCATTAAAATAAGGGATATATTGTAAACAAAACGTTATGGTTGCTTACTATCTGATAGTACTTTATAAAACAATGGTGTTTTGTAATAAAACAAATTACTCATTTTTGAGGCTAGCCCATATTTTACTGTGTTAATGTCATAAATGGGTAACAACTATTTGAGATCTTAAAAAACACCAGTGACTAGAAGATTTTGTTCCCAACATACAAAATGTTCCGGTTGATTACCTTCTAATACTATTTTTTTAAAGCGATGGTGTTTTGAAAAAAAACAAATATTTGTGACTCGTTTATGACATTAATCCATATTTTATTTATCTAGTTTCCATTTTTTTTGTAACAAAGTAAAAGATTGTTTTTATAAATTGGTATGAATTTGTTTGTAGATCTTCCGGACTTGGAAAAGGTGAGAGGAATCTAGAGAGAGAAAGAATAAAAGCTGAGAAGTAAGTTGGTGGCCAGAGCGAGCCAGAGCCCACTGCTTGTCAAATCACAGTGTTTGTTGAGTTGAAGGTAGGATTTGTGGCTCCCTTTTGTGGCCTGGACTTTGACTTGGTCCACTTTCATACTTTTGCAACGTCTAGACTTAACGTTATCCTGAAATTTAACCCCATATTATTGTGAGACTGTTTTCGTCAAAAAATTTACTATTTACAAAATCTTCTGAAAAGGTTTTTACCATTGATAAGGTTCGAGCTTGGCTTCTTTAAATTGATAGGCCTGGAGCTCGGCTCGTGAATGATTGAACAGCAGAACAGGCTTTGGCTCAACTCGTTTGAAAGTAAAAAAAATAAATAAAAGGACTCCTAAATGACACTTTTAAGTAAATGTGAAAAAGTTGAGTCGGTTAAAACACTTTTCCATGATAATTCTGTCGTTTTTGTGATTATCTCTATTGTGTGTAGTTTCTTATTTAATTATAACTAATAATCAAGCAAATAAGTGATAGCATAAATTACTCGTGGTCCTTATAGTTTGGGATAATTTTAGTGCCTAATCCTTTTTTTTTTATTAAAAGCTCGGGCTGTCGGGCAGTCCTCATAGTATGTTTTTATTGCGTCTTTGGTCCCTACCAAATATAAAGACTTTTTCTTAATGTTTTGTTACCCTTTTTTTTTTTTTTTTTAATGTTTTGTTACCCTTTTTAAATTTTAAAGTATAAAATAAATAAAAATACCTCCTCCCCTTTTTATCCCCAACCTTTAAGATCTCTTCTCCAATGATCCCTATCAATTTTCCGAAAAGAGGCCCCACCCTACTAACTACCAAGTGAGCTTTCTTCCTCTCATCATCTCCTTTGACTTCGCTGATCAAGAATCTCAAATGACAACCTCTTGACGCCGCCCACTCCCTTGCACCGTTCTGGATTTTTGACATTTATCATTATTCATCGTTGCTCTGAATATCCGAAGCCTCCGACGTCTGAATCCTTGCAATGAAACCTTTAGGCCTCCGATGAACTCAACGAGCACCCACTATGACTGCCTCCATCGTCTGATAAAACTCACCGGAAAACATGTGACTAAAGAAATTAGAAAATGTAGAAGAACCCCACAATTTGAATCCATAAAATATTCAACATAAAAAACCTATAAAAACACATAGAACAACCATTTCAATCCAGAAAACATTCAACTTCCCAAATTTACAAATTAAAACCAGAATGAAAATGAGCCAGTTAATCTACAACTTACATCTAGATTTTAGCCATTTAGGTCACCATGGGCTAGAGATGGATGATTTATGTACCAATGTTTTGTTTACCCGAATCATTAGGAAGCACGAGAGGATTGAAGTCCAAGATTTGGAACCCAGATCATCAGTAAGAAGGGTGAGATGATTAGTGGAAAAGAAGAAGGGGGAGGGGGATGGTCGTTGCTGTTGGGGGTGTGTGGTACTGGTCCTATGCAGATATAGTATACATCCTGGGGTAGCCCGGGATGTCCTCAAAAAAATTTCAATACTTAATGTTTTTTGGAATTTTTTTTCTTATTGTATATTACACGATTTTTTTGTCGGAGATACCCTTTTACTTGTTGGGATACCTTTTTATTTTGACCATGGTTCCGCCGCCGGTACTGGTGGTGGTTAGATGGTTTAGGACTTTAGAGTTTGTCCATAAAATATAGAGAATAGCTCAATGGCATGACCTTGGGGAGGGGGTAAATGGGGCCCATCTTTTTTAGTTTCTAAAATTAATAACAAATAAATGATAATTTTTTTTAAAGGAAATGATAAGGGTAAAAAAGTCTTTTATGTCTAATAGGGACCAAATATGCAACAAATTAAAGTTTAAGGGATAGTTCGAATTAAATAAAAAAAAATTAAAAGACTAAACACACAAACTATCCCTAACCGCAGGGACCATTTGTGTAATTAACCTAAAGGATATGTTCTTGAAAAGCAACGAAGTATCATCACTTCCCCTCATCTACACAATGCATTGCCTAATTCTCAATTTCTCACTTAATAACCAACAGTCGAAATAGGGCCTTCTACAACAGAAAAGCAATTATAATATCCAGAAATCAGGCTTGATTACGCGCAAAAGTTAATATCCAATGAAATTAGAGAGAAACATAGCACCAAGAGTAACATGAGGTCGAGCAGAAAGACTAACACAAAATATGTTATCAATCATCATATCATTATCATATATGATGCTAAAAACAACAATGTCAACAAAATTAATACTAATATGTAAATCAGTGGAACCAAACACCTTATAACTAATTATTCTTCTATAGTCATTAGTAAAAGTATTTTAGGATCCGTTTAGTTATGAAAAAAAATAATTTTTTTGTTTTTAGTTCAGATTAATGAAATGAGCTTTCATTTTTACTTTTTAGATGTTTATTAATTTGGTCCAACCTGTATACCCAACCTTACACCCATAGTCATCCTACACACATATCCACTCACCCCCAAACCTCCAACCCCACTCAACCATCCAACACCCCTCACATCCCACTGAATAATATTAATTCATCCAAGTTTTTCATATTTAGGCACTTCAAATGTCAACACCAGTAAGAAACTTAAACCTAGAAAAAAGAGGATTATGGATGACACAAGGGATGACAAACTACCTACTCTTAAAGATATGAATGAGATATTGGATGAAGAACGACCTATTGAAGATATGAATGAGATGTTGGATAAGGAAGGTCCTATTCTTGGATATATGGATGAGAGAGATATTTGATGACATAGTAGTTGACGAAGCACCCACCAATGTACCTTATAGCCAAGAAACTCAAAAAAAGTATGAAAAAGATAAAGCTAAGCAAGGACACTGGAAGTAGTCAATGCGATCCAATTAATTTCGACTGAATGTGTTGTACTCTACTCTCTACATACTTTTGCTTTCTGTTGGGACATATTTTGTTAGCGCCACATGTTTTTATAGTATAACACCTAGGGAAACTGTTACATCCGCTTTTATGCTTTGTTCAATGTATAACCAATGGAAACTGTTATAATTACTTTTGATCCGACAAATATTCAATGCTTTGCTCTACATGGACAAAGTTTGTGCTGTTTTATGTTTATTTATCAGATTCTGTTTTGCTACATGCATTTTGTCACATATATTATGCCTTACTAAACGTAACCACATTTTGTTTTGCCAAAAAAGAACAAAACCATAATTCCATTCCATTAAAAAGTGCACATCAAATTCTGTTTTGCCGCATTACATCAAAAGACCACAAAAGACAAGAATTACATCAAAGCCCTTAATTAATAATCTTCAAAAAAGAAAAATACAAGAAAAAAACAACTAATTTTCATTTCTTCAGTTTTTATTGAAACTTGGACTTCATATCTTCTTTAAATTTTGATTTCCACACTGCAATATTGTTTTCTTCATGTTTTTTTTTCAACTTCTCAAATTCTAGACAGAGAATTTTGTACCACCAAATGTCAAGTACATGTTCGATCCACTTAAAAAAGAAATCACAATATGACCAACTTTTAGACAGATAATTTGGACACCTTAAAAAACCTCCTTCTTGGGTTCAACATGGTCCAAGATTTTCGTTTTCTTGAGGGTAAACCACAATCACACATAATACAAGGGTTGTATTGAGCTTGAACCTCCACATTAGGGTTGGAAAATAAGAACTTGGTTACATTCTTGCATGAAATTGTTACATGGCTGCTAAAAATATGGAAATCACAATGTTCATCTTGGAAGACTTCTATGGTCGTTGAGGAGAGATGCGTCAGTTTTTAGACCCTGATATTCGAGTTAGGGCACCAAAAAATATCTATAAAGGGACCAAGCAATGTTGCTTAAGACAAGTCATCATGCCAACGTGGCTATATAACCGGGAGAACGGGCTAAATCCGGTTGAAATTATGTTTTAAACACAATAACAAAAAGTTCATTTTGGCAACTTTTCTAAGGTTAATGGTATAATTAAAACACTTTTGATAGTTAGTTACCCTTATTTGTCATTTCCCCAATGTTTTATTTTGATCCTTTAACAACGTATCGTATGTAATGTTTGTTTAACTTTAGTGTAAATGTTATAAACGACCAACAAGCTATTTCATTTGTCCACTTGTAGTCATTGAACCTGTTTTTGTCCAATTTAATGAATTTTTCAAAATGGAGGTGATTCTTCCACATAAAATCCACATAAGATACAATATCCTTATAGTTATTATATAGGTAAAACATATATTTGGTTCCTTTCTTGTCCCTTTAACCAATTATTATATGTAATAACGATTGAACTTTAGGAAAATCTTATAAGAGCACCCACACCGGTGGCATGTTAAGATTTTGCAAATGGTGTACAGCTCATCATTATTCATCCATTTGTAGAAATAGAAACCGTGGGCCACAATAAAGTAATTGCAAGCCTTTCATATATAGCAAGATGAAATCCTAGATGACATTAAGTTATTGCTCAGTGACATTACAAATTTTACTTGAAAGATCTTGATGGAGATGGTCTAAATGTCCAACAAATTATTTCATTTATTCACTTGTAATCACTCAACTTTTTTTACCCACTTTTAGGTAACAAACTTTCTAGCCTCATCTCATTTTAGCCACTTTAATCTAACCGGCTATACATGATATTTTTTTAATGATTTGGATTAAAGCTTTATTAAATTCAAGATAATGGAACTTATAAAGGTGAATTGACATTCCAATTTGACTTGGAGAAAAAACAAATCAAGTATGGGCACGGTTATAAAAGTCATTAGCCGGTGCTAAGTTGGTCAACTGACGACTAAAGATTAGTCGACCTAGGTGGGAAGTAGTCAGCGACTAGTCAAAGATACTAAATTATAAATTTATTAAATTAAAAAAACAAAATCAAATGACACCAATCTCATAATAAATTTGGTAAATAGCACTAATATTATAATAAAGTAAGTTAATATAAGATTAATGATTCTTCAAATAGTTTCTATTGAGGTAAAATTTCTTCAAAATGTTAGAATTCAGTAGCCTATATAATTTCACTAATTATCTTTGCAAAGTTAATCGTTAAATATCTTCTATTTGCCAACGTGTCGCCTATAGAATAATCAGAGATTGATTGTGAACTAGTTGTGGTTTGTACAACATTGTGTATAATGTCTTTGACTTAAAAAAAAAATATAAGGTTCTAACACTTTAATTAATTCATTACAAAATACCATGCAAGTGTTAACTACTATAGTCTAAAGAGAAATACAATGAAATAATTTTTAGAATTCTTATATACAAAAATTAAACAA